CATTTACCTGTCTAAACTAATCTATACATACCTAGAATTTTCGGCCATATTGAATTTTCAAAATAACATTTTTAGGCTTATTGTTACCGGCATTTGTTTTCTGCTGTTTCAGCGCCGATTCGTTTCAAATGTCTAACGTATTCGGTAACTATCTGAAAATTTAGAAGCGGCTTTTTTTTTTATTCAATACATGTTGGTAGATTTTTATCGCTTAAGTTAGAGGATAAATCTGCTCAATTCGTGCTTGACATCTCCACTGAACTATATAAGATGCCCAGCTCTACCTGACACAAGGATTGATCTCACAGTTTTCAGGCAAATTAGATGCGCATTACGCATTGATCTATTAACTCGTTATGTTAACATCTATTTTAGCAATAATTTTATCAATTACAAGCAGTAGAGCCCGGCGTTGCCCGGGGATGTAACAGTAAGAGATAGATCAAGTATCGGCCATCGTAAAGACTGAAAAATAAATTTGACAGATTATTGTTTAAGGTTGACGAACACGCATGTCTTAATTAGTTTTGTTTTGTTTTGTTTTTTGGGGTTTTTTTTGGGGGGGGGTTACGAATTGGTCAAACCCAAACTCAAACAAAAACATTGTTTGAAATCGTTATGAGTCTACCGATTGAATAGAATTGTCTTGTAAATGGAATTTTTAAAGCATTCTGAATGTAAAAGTAAAGAAAAAAGTGTGCAAGACAATAAGAAACACTACCTGCCAAAAAAAAGTAAAGTTTTATTGAAATCGGTTGAAAAATGTAGGAAATCCGATCACACACACAAACAACCTGGGTTTTATAATAAGTATAACTCGATATGAGTTGTCCCCCTTTCATTCTCGTGATGCCTCTTAATCGTGTTTTCAAATTGATTTCGTACAAAAACAATTGTGTTTTTCCAATTTTGGGCGCTATTAGAACCACCACAAGGTAATTTTACGTAGTCCTGTGAAGTTTTGTTGAAATCGGTTGAAAAATGTAGGAAATCCGATCCAATATATAAACGTACAGACACACAATCTGCGTTTTATAATAAGTAAGATTCATTTTATTACATTTCATCCATAGAGCCAAAAGCTCCAAGAAAACACACACACCATTTGCTGTAGATCAGAACTAAACAAAAGACTAAATTTGTCGTGTTGGCCTTAATATATGACAATGCTATTGAGCTGAGCACTATCGTTTGTCTAAAATCGTTCGTATCATTAATTTTCAAAATAAATAAGAAAACTTCATTTTCCGTTTCATTTTTTCCCCAAAATATTATCTTTTTTTTTAAATCGAGTTCACCCCCAAAAGGCAGTAAATTCATTCGGGTACAATAGGTTACTGGGCGCGGAAGAACTAGAAAAAAAAAAAGAAACATTATTAAGGAGCGAGAACAATAGAAGAATAATCGGGAGGACAGTAGATAACGATTGGCATTGCATTTAAATTTTTAAAGAATAAAGTTAACTGGAAAGCACAGAGCCAGAAGGGTGTTCCACAAGCGAGAAGTACGAGAAATGAAACCGTTAGCATAGAAATTACTGTTACATCTAACCAACTCAACTGTAAATTTGCGAAATCACGCTGCCAATCTAGTACTGCGCATAAATTTATAAAGTCAAGGTACCATTAGCAAAGAGCTCGTCTGAACAGTCGACATGAAAGTATTTATAGAATAGGTACAGGGAAGCAACTTTATGGCGGTAGAAAGGTGATTGAACCCGAGACGCCAGATCAGGACCAATAATATTGCTGATTCTTGTTCGGAAGAAGGAGTACCAGACCATATGTGCTAGCAATATTCTAAGCATGGACGAATGGTGGGCTTAGATGCAATTAGGTAAGGTGACGTGCAAACTGTGTATATAGATGCTTAGTGTTTTATAGAATCCGTCCCTGGTGAGATGCAATGTGGCATCGATTCCGCAAGAAGTCGGCAAACCCTCTAAGCTGTCTAGATACCTGTCGACAGTTCTCCGATATTTGTAGCTGCAGGATCTTGTGTGGGTGAATAGGCGTCTCTACAACGTCCCATGAATGCTCGATTAGGTTAATGTTGGGGTACACGTGATGGACATATCATTCCTCGGAAAGCTTCAGAATGTTCTTCAAATTTTATGCACACACTCTCTCTCTCTCCCTCTCTATCTCATTTTCTCTCTCTCTCTCTCTCTCTCTCTCTTTCTTTCGGCCTCTCTCTCTCTCTCTCTCTCTCATTCACTCTCTCTCATTCTCTCTCTCTCTCTCTCTGTCTGTTTGTCTCTCTCTCTCGTTCTCTCTTTCGGTCTCTTTCTCTCTTTCTCACTCTCTCTCTTTCTCACTCTCTCTCTTTCATTTTCTCACTCTCTCTTTCTGTCTCTCTGTCCCCCCCCTCTCTCTCTCTCTCTTTAATTGGTCTTGATTTAAAAATCTTTAATACTATTCTTTTTTGAGAATCATAATGTGAAGCTGTGCTACACCTTGGAGAAGATCTTTTGGAAAAATGATCATATATATATATATATATATATATATATATATATATATATATATACGTATATAAATAGCTTTACCTGTCAAGAGTTCTGTATTAGCCCCTTCCCAGTGAAATACAGCAACTCGATGTGACATCGATTCTATAAGTGCCGTCCACAGGTCTCTGAAATTTAGAGCTGCAGGATATTATGTGGACGAATAGATGTTTCTACCACGTCCCATAAATACTCGATTGGACTCAGGTTGTGTGTACATAGTGGACACAACATTCCTCTAAATGCATTTTTCATTTTAAATATGGCGGTTGGAAAATAGTCAAGTAAAAAACAGAAGAATTCTCTCTCCTTTCTTTACGGATATTACAATATTAATTTTTTTTATTAAGTCAAAATCTTAAAAAGATTTTCGTTAAGACATTAGTCACCTCGTGTGCCTCCTATAACATTTCCCCACTCTAGTCAAAATCGTCAATGTGCCCGTGAAATAAATGTATATAGATGTTACTTCCAATATGTGTGACATTTCAACAACACGGGTTTTGAGCGAAATGTTAAGTGCCTATCTCACAGTGTTTGTCCTTGCTACTTTAAATGCATTACTTTTCTTCTTCTTATTGTTTTCTAATTGTTCACTGACCCATAACGATAAATATTTAAGACTGACAGCTGTCCAAATTTGCTTCTCTAAGGTTTAAGAAAACAGTGTCAAATCTTCTTGCTCTTCAAATTGAATAAAAACACAAATGAACGTGTGGAGCGTCATTGATAGCATAACCATCTTCTCCTTCTATGTGCCACACCTCTTCAGGACATGGACGATCATGGTTCTCCACAATTTCCTTTGCTTTGTAGCTCTTAATAAATCTTATCATTTTGCTATCCTTCCTAAACCCTATTCAGATAACCATTTACACAAGCTGATTTTGTAGGTTATACGCCAGAGGTCGGCAACCCTTAGCACGTGTGCCAAACCTGGCACACCGATGACTTGTTTCTGGCACGCAAAACTTATTCATTAGATTCCCTTTTATTCTTTCTCCTCTTTCATGTATATCATTATCTCATGTATTTTTATTTTCTTCCCTTTACAGATTGTGCAGAATGTCACGATCATTACATAAGAAATGATGTCATTCAAATGAAGAAGGTATTAGAGAATTTAAAGAATAATGGACTGAAAATGTGGTATGATTAATAAAGAAAATAAAGCCTTGTGTATTTTCTGTTTCGAAACAATCTTTTGTAGGAGTTCTTCTGATAAGGGACAGTTTGAAAGTGTTCATAAGAACTTAAGCAATGAAACTGAAGAGGGAAAAAAAGAATGAATATCTCGTGAACTGAGCAATACAAAAAAAAGGCTGATATTTTTATGAACTTTATTTCAGGCTATCCCCAGTTCAAACTTAGTTGCTGTTTGTTTTGAGGTTTCAAAATTTTTTGTTGGTACGTGGGAAAATTTTGTGTCGATTTTGGCGCGCACTCTCAAAAAGGTTTCCCATCCCTGTTATACGCTGCAATCCCTTGTCCCTTTTGCTTTCAATATATCCTGTGAGTGTCAAATTTTCTAAGCCCTTTTTCTACATTATGTGCCTCAGAAATTTCAACTGTCTCTTTCTGATATTACACATGTTCTTTTTATTTCCATTTTCTCTAAATCTTCGTCATTGCTCATATGTTCAGTCCATGATATTCTCAGCATCCTTCTGTAGACCCCCACCTCTATTGCCTCAAGTCTCTTTTTCATCTGAGAGAAGATAGCCTAGCATTGATTGCCATGTAGGGGGCCGATATTGCATAGCAGTTCAGTATTCTTTCCTTTGTTTCTAACGAAATTATCCTTTTCGTTAATACTTTGCTTAGTTTTTGAAAGGGATCTTTCGCTATAACAATGCACCTACTGATTTCGGTGTCGCATTTTATTAAAACATTTTGCAGATATTTAAATTTTTGTTTCAGTTATCTTCCAATTTTTTTTCTTTCTTTCGTTCTTTCTTACTTTCTTTCTCGTCTATCTAGCTAACTAGGTAACTTATTAGATTTTCAGATAGATAATAAGCATAGATAGATAGATAGATATGAATAGAATTAGATAGATAGATAGATAGATAGATAGATAGATAGATAGATAGATAGATAGATAGATAGATATTATTAGTAAAAATTAAACAATAATTTCATGGCGGAAATACGAACAGAAAACAAAATAATCATGCATAAAGAGGCGCTGTATTGTGAACAATTACGAAGTTGCCCCGCCATTTTTAATGCGCGATTTCCTATTCCATCAAAAAATCTTCAGTAAAAATATGAAACAATCAGATACTCTAACTTTGACACTAATTCCAATTTTCTTTGCCTTCATACAAATTATTGGTTATGCAAATTAGTCACCGAGCCGATCCACGATTTTTAAGATGCAGATATCGATCTTCCATTCGATCTGTTTTTCTTGATAGAAAAGGGCGCCATCAACAGAAGAAAAAAAAACATAATAATGGATAATTTTACAAAGAATTTAGGGTTAGGATGTATGATTATTAAGTCCAAATCTTCTTTTTTTCTCACTACCTTCTTTCTCGTTCACTATCTCTCTCTCTCTCTCTCTCTCTCTCTCTCTCTCTCTCTCACACACACACATGCACACACAAACACAGACACTTTCGACCCCCCCCCCCCACAATCTCTGTTCGGTGAAAGTATTGCTCTGTTAAGTTAAAATGTTAGCAACAAGACTCAGATCCTTTATACGTCTCACTTCGCTTGATTACCGCCCAACCTTTCAGAACAATCAACATTTCATCCCGACCGGCAATGAGTCAGCCAGCAAACAACCCACGGTCTTTAATCTCTCCACCCCATCGTCGGTAGGTAAGCAGTGAACTCAAACCCTAAAAGCCGAAACAAAAGGCCCACACGATTAAAAAGCTGTGTTAAAAAGTCACAGTGAGAACAAACATTGCCTTCCATCGATCCACGCGTATCACTAGAACTATTTAATGAAGAAAAGGATTCAGGATTAAAAGAATAATGGTGGAGTAGTATTAAAGTCAGTGGGCAGCGATAAGAAAGAACATTCCAGATGGAGTGCCACAAAACAAAACGTAGGCCATGATGAATCATAAAATATATATTATAAAAAAAGAGAAAATTGTCTGTTCGTCAAAGAGTTTTTTTACACATATCACAACAAGCAAGGCGATAAAAACACTATGATGCAAAGCGTTAGTGAAAGTGAAGAAAAAAAACAGAGACGACAACGAAAAGAACAAAGTTCAAGAAAACAAAAGATTCCTTTTGCTAACAACCATGCATTCTATCTTCGTACAATTGATGTTTCTTTCTTCTCGCTTTCCTTCACTTCCTTCTGTAGGAATTCTTGTATTTTCCTTTCTGTGATTGCTATTAACACGGTGTCATCTTATTAAGATTGTGGCTAACAATAATAAATCCTTCTAATTCTCTCAGAATCGCCTTACTGTATAAATTGAATAAGTCAGGTGAGAAGACATATTCTTGTCTTATACCCCTTCCGATTTTTGTATATTTACTGAATTCATTTTCTAACCGTATGCAGGTGGTTTGCTTCCAGGATAGGTTTTGGGTTATTCTAATGACTTTCCCAAATATGTCAAGGTTACCTAGCAAATTCCTTTGGCAACGGCAGGAATCCATCCGGAGCTACCTGTTAATTGGTAGGGTAGACTGGCTCTCTAACCTTCGCTGGCAATCATTCTAAGAAAATTCTGAATTCAAAATCGTGCAGAAGGTGACATGAGACCACGCCTCTATCTTTTTCAAGAAGGTATGGAAATTTCCAGATAAAAAAAAAAAGAGTCATGATCGAAAATGAAAACTCTTAATTCCAAATTGTGGAGAGGGCAATGGAAAATCAATCCATTATATTTCCCAAGAAGTCGGGAATATTCATGGATAATAAAGAAAAGGAAGCTGTGGAGAGCCATGATCGCCCATGTCCCGAAGAAAAGGAAAACTCAGAATTCCAAATTATTGAGAGAGAAACCAATCAACTATCTTTCACCAAAATGACAGGGCAATTCCTAGATAATAAAGAAAAAGAAATTGTGGAGAGTCATGATCGCCCATTACCTGAAGAAAAGGAAAACTCTGAATTCCAAATTGTGGAGAGGTCAATGGGAAACCAATCCGCTATCTTTCCCAAGAAGTCAGAACAATTCACAGACAATAAAGTAAAAGAAGCTGTGGAGAGCCATGATCACTCATGTCCTGAAGAAAAAGAAACTGTTGAGAGCCATAATCACTCATGTCTTGAAGAAAAGGAAGCTGTAGAGAGCCATGATCGCCCATGTCCTGAAGTGAAGGAAAATTCTGAATTCCAAATTGTGGAGCGGGCAATGGGAAACCAATCAACTATCTTTCCTAAGAAGTCATGGCAATTCATAGATAATAAAGAAAAAGAAATGGTGGAGAGCCATGATCGTCCATGTCCTGAAGTGAAGGAAAACCCTGAATTCCAAATTGTGGAAAGGGCAATGGAAAACCAATCAACTATCCTTCCCAAAATGACAGGGCAATTCCTAGATAATAAAGAAAAGGAATCTGTGGAGAGTCATGATGGCCTAATCTTGAAGAAATGAAAGACTCTGAATTCCAAATTGTGGAAAGGGCAATGGAAAACTAATCCAAAATCTTTCCCATGATGTCAGGACAAATCATCGATAATAAAGAAAAGGAATCTGTGGAGAGCCATGATCGCCTATGTCCTGAAGAAAATGAAAACTCTGAATTCCAAATTGTGAAGCGAGCAATGGGAAACCTATCCACTATCTTTCCCAAGAATTCATGGCAATTCTTAGATAATAAAGAAAAGGAATCTCTGGTAATCGCCTACATCTTAAAAGGGCCATGGTATGAAATAAATTATCAATTGGTGTTTCATTGGAGATCATTGGATAACATCGATTGATTTAATCTTTTTCAGATATCTACACATTTATTCAGGATTCGAGACTAAAATGACTAATTTTCAACATTACACTCACTAGCTTTTTCCCCTGGTCCCCGGACTACTTTAGTTTAAATGTGCTACTAGATTGACATCTAGGCCTCACCCTTTTACTGCTGAATTAGTTAAATATAACAGCCACTTCTACTCTAAAAGATTCTTTTTCTCGCACTTCCCGTCTGTGGAATTCCCTTACGTTTCCTTGCTTCGCTGCAATCTTCAAAAATTTAAATGCAACGTCAATCGAAATTTTCTAACTTCTTGAACCCCGTTCAGCTTTTATTCTTTTTTCGGTCGCTCCTATGCCCAGTCTTTTTTCTCGTCTTCACTCTCTATAACCTCCTGCGTATTAGTGGCATTCCCGCCTTGCTTGGAATATTTTCCTGCATATAAAGCTGGAGAAAAACAGGCCAAAGACAGCATTATATCTGCACGCATATTTCTCGTAGAAAAAAAAAGGCGAAATACGTTGATAACCGAATGCAAAGAATGCCCAAATTCATTGTTCATTTGATTCTTCCAGGAAGATCATACTGTTAAAACAAATTATAAATTTTGGAACATAAAATTTGTTTTTATTTCCTTTTTTCTTTATTTCCATTTTTTTTTTAAACTTAATTCTAAATGAGTTAAAATATCTTTTTCATGGTTTTTCTAAATGATTAAAGCAAAAATATGCATAATAAAAAGCATTTAGTGGTGGGTGGCGACGAAAGAGCACCAAATCTCTTATCCCGAATATTATGAATGACGCAAACGAATAAGCACAAGACTCTTATTCCGGCGTGAAATTTGAAAGAAATTTACATTTATTAAATTACACAAAAATAATAATAGCACAAAATTTACAAAACAAAATTTTCCTTTGAGTGCCACACAATTAGGCAAGATAATAAGTTATAATTAATTGTTAGGCTCATAAAACTGTTATAATTATCAACAAAATGTTCACTTCGGCTGTTGAAAGGAAATAAGAAAGATGGCAAATTCACAGGCGTCGCTAGGTTTGTTTTAGACAATAAACAGAGATTCGAAAATAAGATAAATTTCGTATTTTCATAAAAAGTTAAAAATCAGGATTAATACCTATAATTTGTGACAAAGTTTCAGGAACGCCTATGGACAGATAATCCGTATATCTGTCTAAATCTTATATCTTAAACTTTTCTTCTCTGCTTTCTTTTCCTTCCTCTTTTTTTTTTCTTTTGCATCTTCCTGTTCTTTTTTTTTTTTTTTGCTACTTCCGTTGCGTCTTCGTAATTGTCGTCGGCGTCGTGAATGTCGAAACCCTTGAAATTTTGCTTTCCTAGCAGCTGCCCGCGACCTTCGCATGTGAAAACCAAATGGCTTCTTCCTTATCAATTAAACCAGACTTTTAAAATAGCCATATATAGGCTCCAATTTAAATCGGAAATTTGATACTTTGGGTTCGTAATTTATTTTACCCTTTAATTATTTTTTATATAATTTTTTACATTGTCTTTAATAATATAATTTTGTATAATAAAACTACCTTTTAAAAAATGAATTTTCTTGTTTTTTAGCCGTTCGGTGCGCATTTTTGTGCGACCTATTGCCGTCGTTTCAAGATTAATGGGACGGAAGTGAAGATTATCTCCCCTTGACCGAAAATGTTCAAAAATCATTTTTGCAGTTAAAATATATGTTCAAAACAGAATGAAAAATGGATGCCAACTATGAAAAATAAAATCCTTTGACTAATCTGTATAAAGCAAGTAATAAATTTTTCATCTAATAAACATAAGGAAACCAGATACCCAAAACAATTGTCTCTAAGCTCATAACCACTTTTTCACCAAATTGTTACTAACTTCTACTAAATGTATCTTCGAATAACTCATTTCGATTTGAAAACCCCCTGGTCATCTTTCCATCATAAACTTCAATTCCATTAATTGCTCTACATATTCTACGAATTGCTTCTGATCTTTACGATTTTTTTAAAAATTCGGACAGCAGACAAGGTCCCACAATTAAATTTTACCTCACCTTGTTTATTTCACTTGTTACTACTATAAGTATACTCTTTTGAACCTTATATTAAATTATACAAGTATCATGCTGCTAAAAATTCTTACAGGCCTTCCCAGTCACATTATTTATCATTATTAACCATTTGCAGACTGAATTTATTTCTAAATTTTACCAGATTTTAAGGAATTTCAAATTTGAAATAAATTTGTTAGCTGTCTACACAAGTTATCCCCTCCATAACATATAAATTATAACTGGATTGTTTGCATACGATGACAGGACCATATTCTCATGCAAGCCGAAAGCAATCAAATATTCATATCATGTTTGGTCAGCCAGATCACGTGCGACTATCTGAAAATAGTTCAAGTCAGATAGGTAGTGAAATTAATCTTCGACTATACTTATTATTGTATCGTCCTATTATCCTTTACCTCTCTTCGGTAAAAATGGGAGAGGCTCTAATAAACTCCAAATTGATTAAGTATCTCACTTCACACGGCCTTCTTTCAGATAAACAATGTGGCTTTCGCTGGGGTGCGCAACCCCCCCGCCAAATTTGATGCGCTAATCCCCACCTCCATGTCGATTTCAAATTTTCCCAACCTGGGCGCCAGAAAACCTCGAAGGAAAATAGGGGGGAGCGCTTTTTTAAATTACCAAAAATCAAAGAATTATCCAATTTAAATGAAAATTTCATTACATATTCAGTAATTATTTACTTTGA